ACGAGAAGGGAGGGGATGAAGAAAGGAGAAAGCCCTTCAAAAATGGTCACCAATCATTCCCAAAATCAAAAATGGTCACCAATCATACTTCCATCTACTGATGGAAGCTCCAAGAACCCCATAATGCTTCAAGCTTCTTTATAGAACCACATTCTTACAAGCCCATCTCATCGCACAATCCTTTCCTCCCACCTCCCCCCGTTTCCGAGAGTTTTGGACCGACCGTCCATATCCAAACAAATTCCGCAAGAAAAAAAGAGGAACTCCCACTTCCTGGTTGATGTGCCAAGCTTCCCTTCTTCCGAGAATTCCGGAACAATCATCCGTGTCCCCATCCCCCCCCCCCCTCCCCCCTTCCACCCCCACCCTCCTCCCCTCCCCCCTTCCACCCCCCTGCCCACCGAGCAAAGTAAACGAAGGGACTAACCTTGTCGAAGGACACCTTGAGATAGATGACGATCGGGGCGATGATGGACTTGGGCAGTTCACCGGGCTCCTCGATTTTATCACAGTCCAACAGCAGGAGGTGCTGGTGCGGAGAAACACGGGAGAGAATCCATTTCGCACTTCGAGGCTCTCACGACTGCGGAAGTTCAAGTAACATTCCCTGTCCCCCCGTGTCCCTCGCCCCCCGTGCCCCCTCGCCCCCCGTGGCCCCTCGCCCCCCATGCCCCCTGTCCCTTGCCAGAATGGATATCATTGAATCAGAAATATAGAACTCCGAGCTACAGTAAGGTATTTAACAGGCGAACTTCTGTGGCTTCGAGAGCAACATCTCCAGGATGAACCCGTAACGTAGCAAAGCGTAGCCGAAGGGAGAGACCGGCGGGAGAGACCGGCGGGAAAAAACCGTTCGAGTAGGGGTAGCAATCGACACGGGGGAATCGAAAATGATCTGATCTAGCATATCGTGCCTCGCATGCGTCAAGACCCACGGGATCCTAAAAGAAATTTGGAACGACGTCATCGATGGCTCCAGCCCCCCGCTGGAGGAACAGATTCGACGCGGTTACCGCCGGTTTGAGGTTGGTTCTGGTCTGTGGTCGCGGTTAGACGCCCATCTCGAGGGGGAGGAGTCTGCGGTCGGACTTGAATGGGATCGGGGCAGCCGATCGAGGGATCGGGGCAGTCGATCGACTCTTCGCACCGGGCGTTGCGACGAGTTTCAAAATTCAATCGAAATTCGAATCGATGGTAGAGGAAAAAGAAACCCACGAGCAAGCGTCTCGTTATTCCTTATCACGATGAACAAAAAAATTCTCCCAGCGCATAGTCTTGGGGAAGAAAAAAAAAAGCGAAAATAAATGGCGGAAAACAACGTTGGGAAAACGGGAACTCACATCGGCTATTGTCTATGTAATAAGGGTCGTGGAAGTAAGGATCGATGGAATCTCGATAGCTGAATTTCGGTCCAGGTCGAGGCGCAGACAGCGAGTCCACCACTCGAGTCGTCCCTGTTCCATCAAGGTCAGCACACAATCAGCACACGCCCGCACACACACCCACACACGCACATCCGGAAATCCACAACACACGTTGGGGAATGAAAAAATGCAAGTCGGGCTGTGTGGTGGACACAGGATTTTCTTTTTCGCCTCGGGAAATGTCGACGTGGGAAATTTTACTGATTGCATCACTGAGCACTTGCATCAATTTCGCATTCGGATGCAAATACGAAATCGATGTATACTCGAAATTGGATTTTTTCTAGAGGGAATGGCTGAGGAGTACTTCCTCTCTTTTATGACCCTCTCCCAGGAGGAGGGAGGTGCTAAGTGAGAGATGGAATGGGTCTCGAAGGAGGTGGTGTTGTGCTGAGAGATGGGATGGGCCGTGGGGGGGGGGGGGGGGGCATGATTTTGCATAAATTGTTTGGGGAAGGGG